CACACACACACACACACACACACACACACACACACACACACACACACACACACACAAAGGGGGTCCGAAAGGTTGTTCGAAATCCCCCGACAGGTGAGTGCGCTGGGGGGCCCCCAACCAGGTGCCCTGCCTGGCCAGGCCGCCCGGGACCTCCCCCGGGCCCCTGCCGGTCACCCGGACGGCCCGGATCCCCACTCAGAAAATCTCCAAATTGGGAAATTCTAAATCTTGGAGACGCGAAACCTGACAAAAACAGCAGTATCAAACTATCTGGTCTTGCCTTCCAAGGTGCAAGCCTCAGCAGCAGTATCAATTAAGGGTGGTCTGGACCCAATTTGCATATTCCAGACCATCTGGATCCCTTAAAGCAAGGTAAGGAGTTGCTTCCCTTTGGCTTGTACTCGTCAACCAGGCTAACATTGATTGGCCCTTTGTATCATGGTCTCCCAGCTCATGAGATTGCAGACCAGTGGAATAGGGCCTGTAGACTCAGTATAGTACTATAGAGACAATAGAGAGGAGGTGTACGAGCAGATCATTTTGATAGTGGGGGCAGTGTCGCATGCCTGTATGTGTGTATATAGGGAAGGTGCAGGACCAAGAACCACCAAGGTGAGAAGAAAGGACAATGCAAAGCAGCAAAAGACTGAAAAACAACGATCTGACTCAGACTCACTACTCAGCACGCACATACATCACCACACATGGCGAGAGGCAAGGAGGGGACATACATGGAAGAAAGGTCCCTCCTTGCCAACACATGCACCCAGAGAAACCACAGATGATTGAGGTGGAGAGAGACAAATGTGGGGAGGAGGAGGAGGAGGAAGAAGAAGAAAAAAGAAGAAGAAGAAGAAGAAGAAGAAGAAGAAGAAGAAGAAGAAGAAGAAGAAGAAGAAGAAGAAGAAGAGGAAAGAAGAGGAGAGTGCAACTCAATGTAGCAACCAAATAATTATCACCTCTCTCCGTTTCTCACAAGTTAAAAGTTGAGTCTGAGCCTGGGAGCTGTAGCTCCCGAAATAGTAACCAGTCTCTGATCTCTCTCTCTCCCTCAATAGAACAGGAGAGGGAGTGGATATGGAGGGTGGCGAGAAGTAGAAGAAGAACTCTCTCTCTCTCTCTCTCTCTCTCTCTCTCTCTCTCTCTCTCTCTCTCTCTCTCTCTCTCTCTCTCTCNTCTCTCTCTCTCTCTCTCTCTCTCTCTCTCTCTCTCTCTCTCTCTGATGTTACAGAGTGCTGACCAGTGAAAGATGAAGACTCGAGCTGATGCAGGCCGCTACCTGCATACTGTGGACCCTGGGAAGTACTAGATGTAGTTGGCGGAGCCGATGATCCCTCTGTGTTATTGATGCATCTGTGCATTTGTGAACCTACCTCATCTTCCATGCTTCTTAGTTGCTGCCCCGTGTGACACATAATCCGTTCCCCTCACGCAGATCCATGAGCCCTCCTCGTTATGAGCAACAGTTATGACAGATAGTAAATCCTCAAATAAGCCACTTACAGGACAGGAAGAAGACAACAACCTGAGATGCAGTACAAATATAGGTTCCAATACCACGAGCCAGAAGATGACCGATGGTTCCCTAGGAATGAGGTATCTGAGACCGCCCATAATATAGTGTCACACTATGAGCAAGTTGGAGTATGTGGATCTCAGACAGGAGGTAAAGATTAGAACTTTCTCAGAGGACCTCAAATTTAGGCATTAGAAGTGAAAGGATTTCACTGTATCGAACGTTGGTCCCAGTTCCATTCACAGTCCCATGTACCACAATACTGTGTCCCATATCCAGTAGGTCTGTAGGCCGTCGACTTCCGGTAGGGTCCATAGGATCAGCCTGTTCAGTCAGCTGCTGTGTCCCATGTACAGTCCCCTATCCAGTAGGTCTGTAGGCCGTCGACTTCCGGTAGGGTCCATAGGATCAGCCTGTTCAGTCAGCTGAGTCCAGTAGAAGTCGGGTCCAGTCAGCAGCCACTTCACTAGAACGTCGGGGAACTTTCCAAAAGGTCATAGGTTGGCCGTGGCCACGCGAGCCAGGATTCAGTACGAGTAAGTCGAGGCCCGGAACTCAATCGTCACATACAAAAGTCCATTTGCTGTCGAGATGAACATGTACGTTGTACATGCTTGAAGTGAAGGCGCTAGTGTGTGACCAAATATCGTGTGAGGCTGCCTGAGCAACTTAGTTGACGGCGCGCACTGCCATAGCTTGTAGTTAGAGAGAGAGAATCCAGGAAGACATTCAGGGAGGGATGAAAGTACAGGTTGAGAGAGAGATGAAGCCATACCTGTTGAGCCGCCCAAGTGCGTATTCAAGAGACTCTGTGGGACTTCGAATTTCAATACAGTTTCTTAAGTGTGTTGTGTTCATCTTGTGTTGGTTTGCGTCTCATGTGTGAAGCTTCGTGCGTTGAAGCGTGAACTTGATATGGTGTGAGAAGCAGGGTAAATTTGTGGACTGGTCACAATAACAAGCAGAAGATGAACAATCAAACACTCTGATGGGTAGGTGGAGCATGGATGACAATCCTACCTGCGACAACACATTGAGAAAGGGCATATACAGGTGGGGCAGTTCTGCCAAAAACATCAGAAACGATGCATTCGCATCGCAGATAGCAACCAACATCCTCCAACTTGACCTTGTATGTGCATGAGCGCTGCTGGCGTATTTCACTGAACTTTCCTCCATTACCTTCACCTGATCGGTACCTGGGAGGATTTCAGACAAGCCAAGACCCAATACACTGTAAAGTTGGCTCAATTGGGCCTCGTGCTTCATCATCACCTAAGATAACAACATTTATGAGCATAGCCCTGTTTCGGAATCGCTAAGTCAATTCAGGGTCATCTGAAGCAAACAATCTGATCCAACCTAGACAAGGCAGAAATTTAAACCCAGTGCTAGTTGCATTATTTCAATTTATTTCGCACTTTCAAAAGCCTGCTCAGTGCTTACTGCATTTGGAACTAGGAAGGAAGCTTATTTTTCTGTTAGTTCCAAGGCTGGGCCAACAACCGGCCTGTTCGGGGCCGGACTGGCCCCGGCGGTGTGAAGCGGAACACTGGTTTAAAAAAAAAAAGCTGAGTGAGGATGCCGCCCGGCCGGGCCTGCCCTGCCGGTTGGGCCCAGCCAGTTGGGCCTGGGGGGCCCGCCCGGGTAAACCGTGCAGGACAAAAAAACGCCCAGAATTTTTTTTATATTTTTTTTGAAACCGGGGTCGTTCTGCGCTCGGCGAGAGAGAGATGGGGGGTGCTGGGTTTGGGGGCTTGTCTGTGATGGGGCGCAGATGCGTTTTTTCTTCTTTTTTTTGTTGTAAGGGGTGTGCGTGTATACAAGGGGCCGAGAGAGAGAGAGAGAGAGAGAGAGAGAGAGAGAGAGAGAGAGCCCCTTAACACGGCTCAGACGGCCCATGCAGGCTTTCTGAAGGGTCCTCGCAGACATGTAGTGCAGACCCCCCCACCAAAATCGAGGCAGGCAGTGAATATGAAACAGAGCACGAGCTGGCCGAATATATACTCATGGTTCAAATTCAGGTCTGTGCTTCAGCAGTTATGGGTTGCTCACGTAGCTAGGGCCTGTTGGTCTCTGCACGTGACTCTTAGGGCTTGGCTGCACTACTCACGAAATGAGCAAAATTACAATGAATCTTCTGCAGAACGTGGAATAATACGCCACCATATGTTTTGTCTTTTGTGCATTTGGTGAGTAAAGGCCCTTACGGCCACTGCACGTACTCCTAAGAAAAGAAAAACGAGAAAAGAAAAGAAAAGCAAGAAAACAGAGAAATGGTGACCCATAACCGACATGCACAGACCTGAATTTGAATCCAGACTACATATTCTCTGCCCACCTTCAGGGAGTACAAGTTTGAAGTGTATCTCTGCATGATGTCGGGTCCTGGCTAATATGCCGTATGGATCCTTCCGAAAAGAGGCTGGACACAACTAGGACATTTTTGTTTTTCTATTTTTTTAATGCACCGCATCACTTGTGCGTGCATGTGCGTGCGGCACCCCGCGCATGAGATGCGCTGCAAGTATGATTCGAACAC